TGGGGCTTTTCTCTCTTCATACCCCTTTCTCTAGATAGTTGCTAAGCCCACGAAACTATGTTTCTGATAGACTCACACACAGCCCCAGCTCAGCAGACCCAGAGAGGCAATGGCAGGCCAGACCCTGGGGCCTGACAGCTGTGTGTCCCTTCTACAAATCAGCTGAGCCCAGGCTGAAAGCTATGCCTGCTTTGCAGTAAATACAAGGACAGGGCCAGGCAGTCCCTGTGACAGCCTAAGGTCTGATGAGCATCCAAGAGCCTCTCTTGACCCCACGCAAGGCGGGGGTTGTCCTCCTCCTGGAATCTGACACTCCAGGCTAGTCATGAGGCTGGACAGAAGAGGGCAAAAGGAACACAAAATGAAAGCTTTTTCACTTGCCCTTCTCTTGGCTCAGAAGCAACCTCCCCACCCTTTCCCTCACGGGCAATCTTGGTGGTTCCTGACCTGATGTGTGTCCTTGCAGTGGGGTCCCCCCTGGGCCAGACTCCAAGCCTTTATCCCCTGACACTGATGGTAAATGAATGACTACATTTCCCAAAAATAAAAGTCCCTATAAATCTGATATTTCGCTTTAAGCTGTATGGTACCCAGAGTGCTGGGGTTATTGATAGAAAAGTTTATGGATGGGCTGCATCTTAAAATCAAAACACATTACCCAAAATCAATGTTGCTGCACGTGGCGGGGAACGGACAAGAAAGGTCAGCCAAGACAAGAATTTCGAAACCTCAACTCCAAGATGGAACATTAAAATAAATAAACCTCGCAAGTGACTCCAGGAGGCACAGCTAAGGCTGTGTTGAAGATGTTTTCAGAGATCACCATCGCCAGATCAGCACTGGCAAGGGCTTTTGCCCAGCTCACAGTCTAGCTACAACAGAGATAATTTACGCATGTGTGAAAGGGACTCAAGGCACTGTGGCCAGGTCTAGCAGGAACAAGCCACGGACACAGCCAGTTCAAAGGCCGCCAGGCGCGTTATGGGAGGTCCCTGCACACTGTCCCAGGCACTTCAGATCTGTGACTACAGAGAGAGGGAGGGACGGAAACCCTGCGTTTTTTCACCATGAGCAATCATGGAGGGGAACCAAACATTCTCACACATCCATCACAGGAAACTGCTTCCTTCACACAAACAGGATGCCTGCCAGCAAGGCATCTCTGCAGGTGCTGGAGAGATGTTTGCAGTGGGTAGGGCTGAGTGGCTGTTCCCCTAGAGAGAATCAACCCCTTAAAGAAGATACACACACACACACACACACACTACCACAGTTCTCGCTTTAGGACTCTGGTCCACCAGGAGGTATCTAACTCCCTTTTCAGAGTTAGTACCCAGGCCAGAACAAAGTAAGAGTCCCAGAGTCCCTGCCGACCACCAGGAAATCCTAGCACAGGCGGCCAAGAGCCCTCCCCAATGCTTCCAAATGTGTTCCTAGTTCATTACTTTGCCTTAGCACAGCTGGGTGCTAAAGGCAACTAGGAAGGTCCTGCTCTCCCCTCCAATATACATGGGCTCTATCAACATAGAGCTAAATACCTTGCTCTTCCCTTCTCAGAAGCTCCAGGTTTTCTTGGCTTGGAAGAGAGTTGTGTAAGTTTTTGTTTTGTGGTTGTTTAAATAAAGAACCTAAAGTAAGACCGACCTGTGCTAAAGCCTCACTTGGCCACCTTCTAGCTGTGTGACCTTAGGGAAGTTCTACAAGTTCTCTGAGCCTCAACCACCTCGTCTACAACACGGACTGAAACCACGTTGTCTAAATCAGACTGTGCTAGACCCCTGTGCTAAAAGCCAGAGATGCCCCAGTGACCAAAGCAGGCAAAGGCTTTACAGACTTTAAGCTGGAAAGACAATAAGTAAAGACATTGAATCCTATGGCGAAAAGTGGTTTTTTAAAAGAAAACAATGAAAGGACAAAGGAGTGCTGGGGGAGGCAGCCCCGGACTGCCGAGGCAAACATGAGTTAGAGGTGGATGAGCCTAGCAAGAAAGTGACTTCTGGACAAAAACCAGAGCATGAGTATTTGGGAGAGGCTGGAGAGATGGCTCAGCGGTTAAGTGCACTGCCTGCTCTTCCAGAGGTCCTGCACTCAAATTCCCAGCAGTCACATGGTGGCTCACAACCACCTGTAATGAGATCTGGTGCCCTCTTGAGGAAGAGACCTGGTCAGTCGTTCTTATCAATTTAGAACATGAAACCCAGGATGGACAAGTTCATCAGAACCGCCATATATGGGCTGCCCACGCATGCTTCAGCATTGCCAGGGCATAAATTTCATTTTCATTCCCTTCGCATCCCAGCTGGACCTGGGACAGTTGATGCAAAGGCCGTGGGGGTGGGCCGAGTATGTTGCATTGCAGGAGAAAGGACCTTGTCCAGGGAAGAGTGAGCCAGGGGAAGGACAGAAAGGAGGAGAAGGCAGAGGGAGGGGAAGGTAAAGGTTGAGAAGGCAATTGTTTAATCTTGGGAGGCCATTGGTATTTGTGCTGGGTGGAGTGGGAGCCACTGCAGACTTCTGAGGAGGCGAAGAATGATGTGATTTATGTTTGAGAAGGACCTCTCAGCTGTCATCCTGAGACCTGATGCGTAGAAAATGCAGCCCGTGTCTGTTGTGCAACAAAAGCACGGAATGGCAAGTAGCTATTACTATTATTCTACTATTATAGTAACACCAATTTATGTCATAGGCCAAAAAAAAAAAATTCCACCAGGGGAATAGGTAAAAAAAAATCCACAAAACTTCAGAATGACCAAGGTCACTCCTCGCTACAGGAATTCCCTCCAGGAAGCCTGGTAACAGGTCCCAATCCTGGACTGGCCCTGGTACTAGGAAAGAAGCTTACTACCTCACCAAACAAGCCAACGCATAGAGAGCTAGCTCATGCCATCAGATCCCTGCTTGGAATAAATTCCCCAACTGCCCCTGTAGAACTCTGCTATGGTCCTGCATCTGTGTAGCATGATACAAGTCTGCCCCCTCCCTTCAAAAGCTGAGGACAGCAAGGGGCGGGCCTGCAAGGTCTTGCATTCACAGACCTATCCTGGTTTCTGAGGACTGGAGGAATGAAGGGGGAAGGAGTTAGGCGGGGAGGCCGGCCGATGCTGTAGAGGGAGTAGGCAATGGGGACCGTGGAGGAAAGGTCTAGATGCTCTTCTGTTTGCAAGATTATCAGTCAGTTACCAGAGGGTGGGAATGACTCTTTGGTCATACGAGGAAGAGGAGGGGCAGAGGGATGCAGTAGCCATGGTCTTCATTAGTGAGGACAAACTTTAGAAAGGGCTAGCAACCTCTTCTCCGGGTTCCTGACCATCTTGTCTTAGACGAAGATGGCCATTGAGAAATTATTTCCCTTCTGGGTTCATCACGGGCAGAGACAGGAGGAGACTTACGGCAGCCTGCAGGGGAAGTTCACTGGGACGTGCTAGCATAACTTCAGGTAAAGCTAAGGAGACCAGACCAGACCATTGGCTGGGGAATCCCAAATTCTGAGGAAAAGAAAGAGAAGAGGCCCAAGGAGAGCTCCAGGGCTCCCCGCTAAGCCATTGTGCCTGGACTGAACCACTCATCCACCCACACACCCCTTAGGAAGGGAGACTGCACTCTCTAGGCGGCTGCGGAGATGGCCAGGGAATGTTCTGGGACACACAGGCTGCAAAAGTGGGGGGATGGGCTGTGAACCCAACTGTGTATACCACCTCTGCCTCCTTCTGCGTGGAGTGGGGGGGGTTTGCAATGGCTACAGATGGGGCAATGGCTGGCAAGAGCTTGCGAGGACACAGGGCCCGGCTCTCTCCGGGCAAAAAGACCGCCCCCACCCAGAAACCTCCGGAGCCTTGAGTCGTGCCCGGCGCTCCCCATTCCACCCCACCCGCACCGCCTCTGCCGTCACTCACGGCCGCTGCTTGCTGGCTCTCTGGTGCGCTCCGCGCCACAGGCACCTGCTAGCCGGGTTCTGGGCGCTGGGCGCTCACTTCTGTCTCTCACACTGCGGACTCCTGGTCTTCACTGTCACCTGGCCTTGCTTCTGGCCGGACACAGTGCTCCTCCCTTCTCGCAGTCCTCTGGCGCCCATCCACCCACCATGGCCCGGGTCTGGGCCAAAGAGTGGTGTGGCTCATGGCCCAAACCTGAGTAAGGAGTTGAGGCCCTGGGGGCTGCGGAGAGGCTGGTGGGGGGGCACACGGAAAGCAGGGTGGAGCAGCTCTCTCCAAGGATGGACACACCGAGAAGAAGCCAGGAGTTTGGGTGGGAAGACCCCCCTAAGCAAAACAGAGGCGGGTGGGGCTGCGCCGCAGCCAGAAAGACGGTGGTCGCTCCTAGTGACCCCGCGTAGGGATGGGGGCCAATGAGTGGGGGCGGGGCGGACTCGGAGGGGAGGGCGGGGGTGATGCCGCCAAGGAGGCTGCTCGCCGCCCAGCTACTGACCGCCCCCTCCCTTTTTCTCCCCTCCCCCTCTCCCCGCCTCTCTCTGGCTGCGGGTCGGTCACACCGGACCGGCTCTCTCCGCGCTGCACTGGGTCGGACGCCAGGTCTGCGCGCCGCGGTTGAGCGCACACTCGCCTTGCGGAGAGCCGCTGAGAAACCGGCGGGGGCGGCGACGGGGGAGCTCGGCGGGAGCCGGAGGAGGTGGCAGTCGGGAGGCCAGCCAGGAGACCGGGAGGCAGAAGCTGGTGGCTTTCAGGCACTCATTCCGTTCTCCAAGGATGGGTCCTGGCGCAGCCCGGCCACTGCCCGGCCCGCCTGGCAGAGACTGAACTGCGGACCCCCATTTTCCGTGAACCACCGGACCGAAGGAGGTACCGACTAAAGGACCCTCCTGGCACGACTTCGTCTCCTGTGCTCCCCCGCGCAGCGCCCCCCGCCAGACCCGCGCCTTGCCAGCCGGCTAGAAAGCCGGGTTGATTGGCGGCAGGCGGCGGCCAGGGGAGGGGGCGCCGTGCGGGGCCATGGCAGGCTCCGAGGAGTCCTAGCCGGAGCTCGAGCCGGAGCCGAGCCCAAGCTGCTGCTGCCGCCGCCTCTCCGCGCCGGGCCCCCGCCGCCGCCGCAACCCTGCGGGAGATGGAACAGCGGAACCGGCTCGGCGCCCTCGGATACCTGCCGCCTCTGCTGCTTCACGGCCTGCTGCTCTTCGTCGCCGACGGTGAGCGCGGGAACTTCGCGACCGCGATGGGTTCAGGGGAATCTTTGCTGGGGCCACGAAAGTCTGCCTGCCGGCTTGGCCACAGCGGAGGAGAAAAGGAAGCGGCAAGCTTCACGGTCTCCGGCAATCCCCGGTGTGCAACCCAGGCTGGGAGTGGGCAGGGGCACGAGAGCAGAGGAGGGTCGCCGGGGCTGTGGCGTCCGCTTAGGGAGTCTTTCGGTGGGCCCCCCACTAAGCAGAGGAGGCCTGCAGCGAGCGAAAGTTGGCGCGCCGCAGCCCGGGCTCCAGTGCTGCGGCCCTATCTGCCCTGCACCTTGCGCGACCCGGAGCGAAGCAGCCTGCAGCAAGTGGCGGGTCTCTGCTTCCGCCTTGCAGCTGCTCCCTGAACTTTGCTGGCGCCTCTCGCGCGCTGGGCCGCATAGTAGCTGGGGACAGGAGTGGGGGCAGCCCAAGGCCGGAGAGCAGGAGATCAACCGCCTCAGCCTTGGGTTGTCCCAAGCCCCCGCCTTTCAGCTTGTCACGCCTCTCTCTCCCGCCCCCAGCAACATTCACCGAAGTCCCCAAAGATGTAACCGTGCGGGAGGGAGACGATATCGAAATGCCCTGCGCGTTCCGGGCCAGCGGAGCCACCTCATACTCGCTGGAGATTCAGTGGTGGTACCTTAAGGAGCCTCCCCGGGAGCTGTTACACGAGCTGGCACTCAGCGTGCCAGGAGCCCGGAGCAAGGTAACCCGTTGCCCAAGAGGCACCCATGCTTACCCTGCTCCCTCCAGGGGAAGTGAGGGTTACCCTTACAGGGCGCCGCCCTGTCGCGCAGCCACCTCCCAGCCTCTGCATCTCCACAGCATCGTCAAAGTCGGAGGTTGTCCCCAGAGGCTGTCTGTTCTGAACATTGCTTCCTTCTCTGTAACCTCAGGGAACTCCCTTCATGCCCAGCCCTAGAAAACCCACACCTGATCCAGTTTGGCGGCTCAGGCTCGCTAGCTCTGGGACTGTACTCTGATGGGTGCTGGCTGAAGAAAGAGCACTTGGTTCTATTGGTCTTTCCTCTGCCACCCAAGGCGTTAGGGCTCAAGGCCAGGGGGTTCAGCTCTCCAGATTGCATTTACATGGTAGAGAGAACACGGTATCTGAGAACAAGTATCTGAGGAGCTGCCCCACCCTCAGTGGCTGGAAAATCTTGCAGTCTGCCCCATAACCCACACTCGCACTCCGGTACTCACTCACACCCACAGTGTCCCGGGATCACACTCAGAGTTCCTGTTCTCATTTTCCTCTGGCACGTATTCACACATAGCAGGCTGCCAAGGCCTCGGTGATGCTGGACCCTCCATCCAGTTTGTCACAGTTTCAAATTCAGTGGAGGGTTTAGAGGCGATGAGTAGGAGAAAAGACTCTCTCCTTTGCACGCTCCTGGCCATTCAGTACCCACTCTGGACAGCAGACAGGCGTGTGTCAGGGCAGCCGCTGCTTAGCCAAACAAGGTGTTAGCCCCAAACCTGCTCCTCTCTGGTACACTGCGGGAATCCTAATGTATCTGGTGCCCTCCACCATGCCACACCCCACGCAGTTAAACTCCCAGCCCACCTGCAGAAAGTCTCATTGTCAAAGACAAATCAGGGTTTCCCGGTGCACAAATGCCACCTGCTTAATCAGTCTCTCTCTCCCCCTCCCTCTCCCTCCTCTCTCTCCCCCTCCTCTTCTCCTTCCTCCCCCTTCTCTGCATTTTAGGTAACAAATAAGGATGCAACTAAAATCAGCGTAAGTGTGGAGCCCAGCATGGGCCGCGGGAGACCCCTTCTGGCCGCTTTGCGCTCCGCAGCTCCCTCCCCTTTAGAAAACCTTTGCGGCCAAGCAATGAGAGCTTTGCTACCACAGGGAAGCACTGTGGGCTACTTGGCGTATCTGGATGCCATCTGTCGCTAGTAGAGGAATTAGGTTGTCTTTTGTGTAAATCAAGGGTCCAAATCCGAGTCCCCAAACCCCGCAACAGTAAACTCACCCTTTGCATAGGCTCCTGGCATGCACCTGCTCTTGACTTCTTGGCTGTCATTTCTTCCAAGACCTCGAGTGTGGCTCCTTGCTCAGACTGCTTGGGGCTCCAACTTCCCATCCCCTTCTATCTCACCCTACACATGCACCGGGCCCTCTAGAAGCACCCTCTGCTCGACCATCTCCTCTTCTGCGGACAGCATAGTTGTGGGCTTCTGGGGGCTGTTTCTTATGCAGCGAGGATATGTAGGGTCTGTGGTGCTGGAGATTGGAAGTAGCAGGGCCTGAAAACAAGCCTCTTTGCAGACCCAGTTGAGAGGTGAGGGGTTGTGCCTGTGTTTGGTGAATCTTAAGATTTCCACCAAGCCAGGAGGACTTTCTCAGGGCTCTTAACAAGTGGTCAGTCTTAAGCAAGGCAAGGGCTAACTGTAAATTACAGGGCAGGGGATGTGTAGTTGTGCATGCTACAGGCAAGATGGACACACCCCAGGCTCTCTGGATTCTAAGTAAAAGTGAGCATAATTTCAGGTATATGTAGGATGTCCCAGAGCAGTTAGGCTCGGCATTAAGGTGCAGGAAGGATGTGGATGGTTCGCCACAGAGAGCCCCAGTCTGAAATTTCTTGCAAGTTATGGAGAGTTATACGTTCTGAAGGGGAAATGTGGGAAACTGTAAGAAAGAGTAAATGTGAGGTGAGACCGCTAGGAATTGGAGACCAACACAGTGCGCACGCAACACGGTGTCTAGGAAGAACTGAGAGCCCGTTGCCACCAGTTGAGATGTATTGAGGTATTAGGAAATATTGGGATGTTGTGGCAATTGGGATCCTATTGGCACAGTGATAGGAGAACCAAGATCCCCAGTCACCAAAGCAGATGTGGAGCTCACTGGTCAGGCCTCTAACCGGGCTGTCTTACAGACCGTGCGTGTCCAGGGCAATGACATCTCGCACCGCCTTCGGTTGTCTGCTGTACGACTGCAGGACGAAGGAGTTTATGAGTGTCGTGTGTCGGACTACAGCGACGACGACACTCAGGAACACAAGGCCCAGGCGTTGCTGCGCGTGCTGTCTCGGTTCGCACCGCCCAACATGCAGGCTGCTGAAGCAGTGTCCCACATCCAGAGCAGTGGCCCGCGGCGACACGGAGCCCCCAGCGCTGTCAGCTCCAGCAATGCAGGTGCTGCTGTCCGCACCACCTCTGAACCCGGGTACAGCGACAAGAACCCACCTCCCGGGAGCCCTCCCTCTAGACCAGAAGTTCCGGAGGCAGCCGCGGCTGCTGCTGCCGCCTCTGAGACCCACACAATCACCACCACTGCTGCAGCAGCTGCTGCTGCTTCATCAGCTTCATCACCATCAGACCAGGCTTTCCTTCTGCGCCAGAGGCACGGTTCCGGTAAGAGCGGGCCACAGAGGGGTCGTGTACACTTGGGAGAACAGGAAGAAGGGAGGGGACCGGCTAGGACATTGTCGGATAGTCTTATCGCAGCGGCAGTTGTGTGTGCGGGGCGGGGGCAGAGGGGGCGCAGCGGGCGCCTTTCTTGTGTTCTCTGGGCATTTTCCCCGTCCTGATTCTTATTAGCCTGTTGGAGCATCCTACCAAGTATATTCATGACTGTGCAGGCTGCCCTGTCTGGCTCTGAGGCTGGATTGTAAAGGCATTCTGTCTTGGGCAGCTGTTGGGAGCTGTATACTCAGACCCTCAGGTTTCGAAAGGTATTTCCCAGATGGGGTACTGGCTCCTTTTGAGCGAGGAAGAAAATAGTAGAAGCAGGCAATTTGTATTTGCTGATTGGTGGCATTGAACTGTCCTTTAAGGTCCAGGAAGTTCGGCTGTGTAGCCTTTGCTCAGTGGTTTCTAGGTGTGGCTTTATACCCGGCTGTAAATTCTGTATGTACCCAAGACTTCCAGTTCTCCTTGGTTCCAGAGGGAAGAGAGTTGAAGATGGAGCACTGTACCCGTTATAAAAGCATACAGAGGCTGATAACCACTTTCCTAGGGAGCTAAAGTCTGGGGAGGTAAGGAGCTGTAGTTAGGCGTTGCCAAACTAGAAATCAGAAAAAGGAACTGCTGCCCTGGTATTGGGCCCCTGGGGGATGTAGGATAGCAGTAGTGGAGGTTTAGCATGCCCAGAAAAGCTATAACTACTGTGCCAAGTACCTCTTCTCCCAAGATGCCTCCCTCTCCAACCAAACTCAGTCGGTGCTCCAGTGTTCACTCCTAGTGTCTGATCTGAAATAATTCACCCCTGGTCTGAACCCCTCGTCTCGGACTTTGCAGTGCGTATTTCTCATTCAGTAGGGAATCTCTACTGGTATTACAGCATGAAAGTCTAGGGGATCGTAGAGCTCTGATGGGTTGGGACAAAGGGTCGTGCCCCAGGTTGGCTATTCTGAGGATACAAGCTCCTGGACTGTCATCCCTGAATCTGAGGCGACGGGCCTCGCATCACTTTTTATCCTACCCTCTTGCTGCTCCTTAAGCCTTTGAACATTTGGAAGCGGCTGGTCCGTTCTGAGCATCAGTTCAGCCTTGTTTTCCCTTAGTTATTGTTCCTGTGGGAGACTGTACTGTGTCTCCCCCTTCCTTGGGAAACTGCTTTGTGTGTGTGTGTGTGTGTGTGTGTGTGTGTGTGTGTGTGTGTGTCCCTCCTGAGAGCCTTGCTATGACTGTTCTGTATCTCCCCCAAGGGATTCTGTTCTGTGACACAAACATACACCACACACACTCACACACACACGCACACTCGCACACGCGCACACACACACGCGCGCACACACACACACGCACACACAAACACGCACACACTCCAACAGTATCCTATTCTGTTCTGTGTCTCATCTTCCCTGTGTGAATCTACCGTGTCTCTCCTCTGGGAGACATAACCGTGTCCCCATTATTTGTGAGGAATTTTGTCACTCTTAGCTCCAGGGACCTATAAGAACCCTTCCAGGCCCTGGGAAAGATGGGTCATCTTCAAAGAACTCTCAGCTCTCCTGTTTAACTTGGGATGCTGTACCATGTGTATAAATTTAAAGTGCTATGACAAAAATACCAAAATGTCAGTAGCTCAAACACAATCCAAATTCATGGTCTTTGTTGCATCCCATCTTGTTCTGGGGTGGGAACGGCATATTCTGTTCAGTCATTCAGAAACCCTGGCTGGCAGACTATATTAGCTCCAGCAAGTAGCTCCAAAATCTCTCTGGGAAGCACCATATAGCAGCATATAAGCATGTAAGGGAACAGAGATAGAAATGTCCCTTCAACCCAGTTCTAGGAGAGAATGGAACCCTAAGGCTATAAGGTATTCATGGCGCATAGTGAATTCACTTATTTCCTGTGTATTTAGAATGACTCTATGTGTGCAGTATTTGTGAGAAACTGAGGAAGGTGTCTCTCAAACCATTCTATAGTGCTCCATTTTTTTCTGAGAAAAATCATTCAGGAATGGCAAGTTGGGTCTCTAAGGACCAGGCCTAGAGGTGGTGGACGTCACATCTCCCCGCCCCCCATTCACTGACCACATAGATGCAAGTCTTTGGGGGAAAATGTACCGGTTGTCTTGACAACTACTTTCCGGCTTCATCTCTCTGCAGTGTAAGAGGGCACAATTTTTGAAAGAACTGAAAGTCTCTATGTAGCATTCCCTGGGTATCTTAGGAAAGTGTTCATTGACTCATGCTATGATTGGCTTAATTGCTGCTGATTAAAAGACCCTCTGCCCTTTCCCCTCGGAAAGTAGGAAATAAATATATGTGGTAGACTGGAGAAAACCTCTGGAATGTTCCCCAGAGCAGTGACAAAAGAGATAACATGAAAGTCCAGATAAGAGTTAGGTTTGTGCCATCTAAGCTTCGTGTGTGGTGTCTTTTGGTAAGTGGTTTAGCATCTCTGTAAAATGGACAGTGTTAGGTCTGATGCTGGGAACTTCTGTGCGTACATGTTCATCATCATTACAGTGGCCTTAACTGCTCTGGATGGATAGGAGAAAATGAGCAAGCTGACAGCTGGAGACCAAGCTGCAGAGGGACCTTGAGAGATGAGTGTCACCAACAGGGTTGATTGGAGACTTTGACCCAGGAAGTACCATGTACTAGAGGGTCATGAGAGTGATCTTGGCCACACCCATAAAATTGTAATGAGACCAAGGTTGTGAGCTCATTCCTGTTGGAAACCCCTTTTCTTTTGTTCGTAGCTGGCCCTTGAGAGCTACTACACTGGCCTTGAGAACCAAGCACGGCCAGTCTGAGTTGGATGAGCTCACCCACTGGAGTTGGATGTAGCAACCAGGTTGGGATTTCTGTTTGTCTTTCTTGTGTGGACAGCCGTTTTCAGTACCGTTCAGAAAGCACAGGCAGCTGGGCTCCCTGCAGGCCAGATAGTGCAGTACCATTGCACTATCTGGCTCTTGCTATTTCTATCACTCAGTAACCTTTGCCAGCTTCTACACAGGCCAAGAAGCAGCATATCTCAGACCAAGCCCTGGTTTCTCTCCAGCTCCCTATTGAAGATGAAACATGGTCAGATGAAGTCAGTAAACCTGTGCACTTCCCCATCCCTGTGCCCTCTCTTAGAGGAGTCACTTAGTTGTAAGTACCCAAGTATCCCACTCTGAGTCTGGAGAAGTGGTACATGTGACCTCTAATATGCAAACGCACCTAACAGCTTTGATTCCAAGGAGGGAACCACTCCCAGTGGGTGAAGTTGAAACATTTAGCATGTTTGCATGGTGGGTATGCAAGACTTTCCTGGGCTCATGGCCAGCTCTGGGTCCCCAGGGAGGCAGCAGGTTCAGGGATATCTCAGAACTTCCAACAGCAGGAGACCACAGCATGTTTTGAGCCTGTCTCCCCAGCTCCCTTCCAGTGCGCAGATCTAAGCCAGAGAGGCCCATTGCTCTTGGTTAACAGGCAGACATGTTTATAGTGCTTCTCAGTCAGGATGCTGGCAGAGCAGATGGCATAGTCATGCAGAGTCACTGAGGGGCATTGGCACAGGGTAGTTATGAAGACAGAAGCAGGGTTAGGCCAGCCAGCATAGGAAGGTTGTAAATCCCCAGAACTGGCAGCAACAGGAGCTGTTAGTGTCCATGGAATACAGATTGGGGGTGACTAGGGGAGGGGGAGCTGGGATGAGATTGGCAGCAGTCAGAGCAGCTGGGGGACAATGTTCCATGATCAATTCTGTAGTCTCAAGGTCTCAATGGAGGGACTCAGTTGGCTTTCCATGACCCAACAAGGACCTCATTCCCCTCTTGCATGTTTCTGGCCTCCTATTAGCCAAACCCTTTTGAAAGCCAAGGACAAGGGCATCTGGGGGAAGCTGTCTAGAGAGGTAAGCCCCAGATCTTAGAGCTCAGTGAAGAAGGTCAAATGGAGGATGCAGGGCACTGGAAGTGTCACCCCAGCCTTGGTGTAGTACATCCTAACCCTTTCAGATCAACAACTTCAAGAGAGTGGCCCCGGCCCCCTCTCCACATGGTGTCATACACAGTTGATCCTAAAAGACCTTCCATGCCTGTATTTGTGAAGTGAGCTGTTTCAGCACTGCCAGGAAGAGGATCCAGGACAGCTTGCTCAAAGCACTGCCATATTGCCCCTTTCCCACTCATCAGCCAGGAAAGGAAACCTCTTCTCTACTCACCTGTGCCTAGCGTGGCCGTGTGTGTATTTACACTAAAAGTTTGTTTAAAAAACTCATTTGTTTCATGTCTCATTCGTCAAGAGACGTTTTAGTACATATACTTAAAAGTAATCATGGGTTGAGTTAGCAAAGCAGATCAGGCAGAGAGGGCTGTGTCTGTTCCTCACAGTGTGAGCCAGCCTGGCTACTCACGTGAATGCGGATCCACTGATAGGAATTCTTAGCTGCTGGTTGCCACTGGGGGAGACAGAGTGTCTTCCAAACACTTCTAATGGAGGAAGGGCACCAAGGAATCCAGCCCAGCCTCAAAAAAAAAAAAAAACAATATAGCTGGCAGCAGAAAGACTTCCATGTTGGCAAAAGGTTTCCTTCTGTAGGGATCTGATTGTGGTGAGAGTACCTCTAACTAGCCTCAGGGCTCCAGTACCAAGGAGTAGCACCACAATCCTAGGATGGGTGTGTGTGGATGCAGAGCACTAGATGCTTCCAATATTTCTCTCTTTTTTTCCCCAATATTTCAATTAATGGTGAGAAGACAGCTAAGGCCATGGGTGTGACTGTGGTGTTCTGTGGTGAAGAGGCTGTTTCTGCTGGAAACCATAGGGGGGGGGGCATTCTTTGGTGTTGCCATGGCAACCATAAATCATGACCAAATGGGACTGTGACTGAAGTAAAAACGCTCACTCTGCCTTAACCTGTGCCCTGGGTAGATGAAAAAGCTGGCACAGTGGCACCAGGGTGGTGCTGGA